CTAATACTAGTGTATTATGTTAGTATCTTTTGGAATTACATTTCATTTACAAGCAATTTTAAAGATCTTGTTAATTTACCAAAAGGTCTTTATTAATTGATAACTAATTTTCATAGATTCTTTGCAGTAAATTAAGGGTTTAAAATAATGAATTGACAAAATATGAAACTGAATTTCAAATGTCCTTACTGATACATTTCTAAAAATGAAGAGCACATACCGAAATACCAAGTAACACATACCAACCCCTTTATAAGTAAAACAGCTTTGTTACAATTGCAGTTTTTACTGTGCATTTTGGAGGTTTGGAGGGGTTTCTTTTGGGGAGTTTTTAGATACATGAAAAATCCCAGATATGAGAGCTGGAATACAGAGAGCTACAGCACTGGCTTCACCTTCCATGCCTTAGCAGCTTGCATTGGGACCCACCTAAAGTGACCTGTTTTCTGAATGGGAGAGTAGTTTCAGTCCCTCAACCTCTTGTCATCCCTTCTAGATGCAAACAATTTTTTCTCAGTAATTTTATTTAATGCATCATTGGGCATCTCTTGAACTGATGCTAGTCATGAGTTTGCTGAGTAAAATTGTTGACTGAATAGTCCTTGTTTGAAAACAAAAAATACTATTTGCATTGTTTTTCTGGTAATTGGTACAGCCAACTTTCTGCTGTCATTTCAAGTCTGTTGCAAGTCAACATCAGATGCTTCAGGAAACTTCACCCTGCTGAGGGTAAGGTTCTGTTCCTCAAGAGTGTGAAACAGGCTTTCCAGTATGCTGTTGAGTCTTCAAAGAATTGTGACAGAAGTGGCTTCAGCTATGACCCACTATTCCTTTGCTTTTTCATAGCATCCCAGATTGTAGGTAGTCTGACATCACTGTGTCTATTACATAAACAATCTAGTGGTGACAAACTCTAAGGATGCTGTCATTACAATTGTATTTGGTTTGTGCATATGCATATATGCATATATGTATCCATATTGTATACAATATTTTCAGGATTTGTCCCTACTTATACCAAAAAATATATATACAAATACCGGTCTATTTTGTCATCTCTGAGGAAGACAAAAGTCTGTTTGTGATATGATCACAGAAAATTTTAAAACAACAGTGAATAACGAGGGTTGCATATTTGCTAATAAAAGCCAAAATATGCAGGAAATATTTGAGTCATACGCCTAAGTGTGAAAGCTCAGTTCTTTGAGCAAATGAAGCTAATATCCAAGCATGTCTAGGTGAAGAGAGAGATGAGGATGCAAGAACAGCACCATATCATTTTCAAACAAATTCAGTTGAGGAGGAGAAAGATTGAGTAACTAGAATCAAACACACTGTTTAGAGGTAGAAATTGATCACAGATCTCCTGAGATGTTCAGTCCCTCAAAGAAAACTATCTCTTTAATATAGATAAAAGTGGTGGAACGTATGACTCTTTCCTGGTGTTTGACTGATTCTTGTAGTGGTGGCTTGGAGTCTTGCTGACCTTGTCAGTAATGCTATCAAATTGGAGGATACAAAAATAGGTAGAAAAAAGTATTTTCACAAAGATTCACAAGGAATAAGATGGTCATCTAAAAGGAATTATTCCAAAGTCACCACACAACAGGGTTCGCAAGCCTTTGTAAGGTTGACCTCTAAAAATTAAAACTCAGGAGATAGAACACATCAAGGCTAATGTGTATTGGCAAGGCAGAAAATGAAGGTTTTTCTAAATCTGTTTGCACGCAACCTTCAGCTCAGTGTTTTGACTTCCTCACTATGATGTTATCTTGTCACTGAACTGCAAGAGTTGAACTGAGAAGTGCATTCTTCTCCTATCTTTATTATCAAAATGTTGTTAAACTGAAAAATTGGTGGGGGAGGGGGAAGATTGTTTCTTACTCAGTTCTTTAACCTGTAGTATTGGGGAGAACATATCTGTAGCTTTATCTCAAGCACAAGCTTTGGACTTAGTTTAGCAAAGTCAGTTTTGCCTCAGAGGCAGATCTGATTACTGTTACGTCCATCCTGAAAAGATGTCCCAGATTAGCGTGAAATTCTCTCTATATATGAGGGTCAGCAATAAAGTAGTAACATTTATAAGGTTGCCATGGCAAAACAAGAAGCAGAGTAATTTACTTATAGTTCTTGAGGTTTGTATTCAGCATTTAGAATGATCATTTGCTAAACACAGAACGATTTTTTAAAATTAGTGAGGATGATAGTAAATAGCTAGAAGGAAATGGGTTAGAATGGAGAAGATGGAAATGTGATAAAATATGGTAGAAAACTTCATGACTTAGTCAGACAGCTTGCTATGGTCACCTGACTGACATCTAACATAAACTTTAACCAGTAATTGTAAGGCCTAAGAATGTCTGTCTGTATTTGATATGTTTATTTGGCTCCAGAGTAGTCTCGTGAGGTTTTCTTCCACATCTTTCCTTTGGTTACTTTAAACCTAAAATGAGCAAAAAATCATAAATGTGTAACAGGGTCCAGAAATACAGGGATGGAGCTAGACAGTACCATTACTTCTTTCCACTCCCAATTCTTTGTGATAAAGAGATTAGAATTTGGGGAATATCAGCTCTAGTTTGTCTTTTTTCCTTGCTAGTTAAAGAATCCAAAGGAAATGCAAAAATTAAATTTAACAGCTACTTTCAAGTTATGGGCCAAGATACTTCACTTTAACTTCCCTTCAATCTACTAACGTAGTTCCCAGGTAGCATGCTAACATAACTGATAATGATAATATTCAGGAAGAAGAAAAAAATCCACATATTTTATCACAGTACTATGTATATTTATTTTTTCTTACCTCAATGTAAATATCAAGTAAAAATAATTAAGACTTGCCTTTTGTGAGAATAGTATCTGAGAAATAGAATTTATCCATACTTTTTCAAAAGCAGGTGGTACATCTTCCTTGTAGAGTCTATTAGTCTGAGTTTCTTTATATGGAGACAAAGATATAAAAACAGATATGGGGTTTTTCTGATAAAATGCATTATAAGATGATGCTGGGATTTATTCATCAACAACTTAACTGTCATCTGAGAATAATAATTCCATAAAGTATTATAGACCTTTTAATGAGTATGTTATTAATAGCTCTTCCCCAATACCAGTGACCATCTGTGACTGTTTCACCATCTGTGATTGCTATTTCAGTTTGGGAGGGGGAAATAACAGTGGTATTGCACTGAATTTACAATATAAATTAATAGTCAACTAGACATACTGTAGATGATTAATTTGTCTGTGATTATAAGTACACACTGAGCAAGAGAAAATTAGTTTCTTTGATTTGTTGGCACAACATGGGTTTGGGAAATGGCCATGGGAAGCTGAAAACAAAATTAAATTGCATTTATTGAAATCTGAAACACACAGAAGTTGATGGAATTTAGATGAAGAGGATGAAAAGAGTTTAAATGGCACTTGAAAAGGTAGTGAAAGTTTCTTTAAAGATCCGTGACAAATGATGTATTGATTATTGTGATTTGCTAAGGTTAGGTAACAGGGGAGCAGCAAAAAGAGGTTGGTCAACACTTTTTACAAATTTTTACAATTTGTTGACGACATAGTAGAATTAACAGATAAAATAGTGTTTTATAAACTTCTAATTAAAAATAATCTTGTTGACTTCTTATCTGAATGAAGTACCATTTATTTCAGAAGAAATTCCATTTTTAATTAATAACAGTTAATGCTTGAAAAAGTTCTGTCCTTGCCTGCAGAGGTAGAAGAGTCAAGCTGGTTAATATTCATTTTACTTCCCTTACTAAACTGTACTAAAGCATTTCCACATTTTGTTATTAACACAGTTGCATTCTGTCGGGGCCGAGGTGATTATTTTTAGTGTATGTATATAGATCAATATCTTTTCCTTTACTAAGACAAAATTTGTAAGAAGCTATTGGGGAGGTAAGGTACAATTTCAAAATCATTCAAGTCCCACTTAAAGTATCTACATTGTGTGGGAGCCTAAATTTGCTTGAAAACTAAAAAGAATGTTTCAAAAACCCTAGTAATTTAGGGTGCAATTTAGACTGTATCTATCCAGTTGCATTGCCTACTTTCACAGTTGATGAAGAGAGATAGGCACCTCCAAAAAATGACTCATCAGCCTAAGGTAGATACTTCTGCTAGATCGGGATGAATCACTCTTCTACCATTAACTGTGGGGAAGTCTGGACATCTGAACTGAACTAGATTCCTATATTTTTATACTGCTTAACTTTTTTTAAGTTTTAAACTGCAGCTTTGGAACTGGAACAAATTTCATTTAAGAAAGTCTTCAATGAACTGAAAAAGGTGCATATCACTTTTGTAGAGCACAACAATCTTCCCTGAAAATAATTATGTAGCATCAGAGATGAGGCAAAAATTATGAAATAGACTAAGAACTACCTGTTTTACCAAATGCGTTGGCACCAGAAAGTTCTGCTTTGGGGTCGGGATTTCAGTGGAACTTGTAGCTGCATACTATATGCCCAGTATCTGCCTCAGAGACTTCTATTCGATTGTACAGATTATTCATGTATTTATAAATGTATATGTAGATATATACATTCATAATTATATTTTTTCTATTAAATGTTATATAAAGAGAAGGTGTATAGGTCTATATATATTCTACACACACACACACATGCACTGTATATCTTCATTTATAAGCATGTGGAAATAATAAGAAAACCTTTTAAATTACAGTTAGTTTGATTTCAAGAACATAAAGTAGACTTTTCAATCCTAGGCTGAACAAAGTTCTAGTGAATATCACCCTTCTTTTACATTAGATTTCTTTTCTTCCTGACCTTTAGCAGACTGATGACATTTTTTCATGCCGTTTCCTGCTGCTTATTCACAGACACCACAAACTTTCCTCTCCACTAGAGAAAGTATGTAGTTAAGATATAAAGTCATACCATGAAAAAAATTTTTAAAAACTTGTGATTAATTTGCAATCAAGCCTCCAGAATAGTGATTCAGTCTTGTTTCTTCTATTGCAGGCAAAAGGTTCTTCAAGCATAACTCCATCAGGCACTCAAAAGAAGGTGAAGAGAACTCTGCCCAACCCACCTCCAGAGGAAGCAACAGCAGGACCTCAGTCGCCATATAATTCTGTGGGGTCAGTTTCACGCAGAAGGATTTGTAGGACTAACACTATGGCCAGAGCAAAAATTCTTCAGGATATAGACAGGGAATTGGATCTGGTCGAACGTGAATCAGCCAAGCTTAGGAAGAAGCAAGCAGAGCTAGATGAGGAGGAAAAAGAAATAGATGCCAAGCTGAGATACTTGGAAATGGGCATTAATAGGAGGAAAGAAGCCTTACTGAAAGAAAGAGAAAAGAGAGAGCGAGCCTATCTCCAAGGAGTAGCAGAAGAACGTGATTATATGTCAGACAGTGAAGTTAATAATACCAGGTCAACCAGAATAGAAACTCAGCACGGCTTGGAAAGACCACGTACTGCACCCCAGACAGAATTTAACCAGTTTATGCCACCACAGACACAGCCAGAAACACAGTTTGCCCCTGCTACAAGCCCATATGCTCAGTATCAGTATTCATCTCCTGCCCTGCCAACTCAAGCACCTACTCAGTTCACACAGCAATCACATTACCAACAACAGCAGCCTTTGTATCACCAGCAGGTTTCACCCTATCAGACCCAGGCAGCTTTCCAAACAGGAGCTACTATGTCCTTTACTCCACAGGCTCAACCTCCATCATCTCAACAGCCATCATATCAACTCCCATCACAGATGATGGTAATACAGCCAAAGCCAAGACAAACCACATTATATTTGGAGCCTAAGATAACAACAAACTATGATGTAATTCGCAATCAGCCTCTCATGATAGCACCAGTTTCAACTGACAATAACTATGCAGTTTCCCAGCTGGGGAGTAAATACTCTACCTTGGATTTAAGGATAGGACTAGATGAGAGAAACAGCATAGCAAGCAGCCCTATATCAAGCATATCTGCAGATTCATTCTATGCAGATATAGACCATCACCATACACCCCGAAATTATGTGCTGATTGATGATATAGGAGAACTTACTAAAGGAACAGGAGCACTTGGTTCCAGTTTTAGCCTCCACGAGAAAGATCTGACCAAAACAGATCGACTGCTTCGCACAAGCGAGGCCAGGAGAGTACAAGAAGTGTCAGACTTCCTAGCACCACTGCAGACTTCTTCTAGGTTACATTCCTATGTTAAAGCTGATGAAGACCCAATGGAGGACCCTTATGAGCTCAAACTTCTGAAACACCAGATAAAACAAGAGTTCCGTAGAGGTGCAGAAAGTCTTGATCATCTGGCTGGCCTGTCACAGTATTACCATGCGGAGGGCAGCTACAGGCATTTTCCGAAATCTGAGAAATATAGCATAGGTAGGCTTACTCTTGAGAAGCAGGCTGCTAAGCAGCTCCCAGCAGCCCTCCTGTACCAGAAGCAGTCAAAACACAAGAAAGCTTTGATAGACCCCAAACTAACAAAGTTTTCACCTATTCAAGAAAGTAGAGACCTTGAGCCTGACTATTCAAGCTATATGACTTCTAGCACTTCAACACTTGGGGGAATTACTACTAGGGCAAGGCTTCTTCAAGATGATATCACTTTTGGCCTTAGAAAAAACATCACTGACCAACAGAAATATATGGGGCCAGCACTGGCTTCATCCATTGGAGCAGGCCTTGGGACTGCACTAGGTCCAACAATGAGATCCACATTACAAGATGAAGCAGACAAGTCTTATAGCAGTGGTAGTAGATCTAGACCATCATCTAGACCCTCCTCAGTTTATGGGCTTGATTTGTCATTGAAAAGGGATTCTTCCAGTTCTTCTTTAAGACTGAAAGCACAAGAAACTGAACCCTTAGATGTTTCCTTTAGCCATGCATCACCTTCTGGAAGAACTAAACCCACCAGTCTACCTATTAGCCAAAGCAGGGGAAGGATCCCAATAGTAGCGCAGAACTCAGAGGAAGAAAGCCCACTAAGTCCCGTTGGCCAGCCAATGGGAATGGCAAGAGCAGCAGCTGGACCCTTGCCACCAATATCTGCAGATACCAGGGACCAGTTTGGATCGAGCCATTCATTACCTGAGGTCCAGCAACATATGAGGGAGGAGTCACGGACTCGAGGCTATGATCGAGATATAGCCTTCATCATGGATGACTTCCAGCATGCCATGTCAGACAGTGAAGGTAAATTAGGCCTCAGACTGGTATCTTACTATCACAACGCAAATCCTCATTTCTATGCATGTGTCTAATTTTTGTTATACTTCAAAGACTTGTTCTTTTTTCTGTTCCTTGGTGCATCTTCTGTGTGTCTACATTTTTAGGGTTTGATTTGTTTTGATTTATTTTATATTTTTGTTTTACCCTAAAAGCAGTTTCTGGATGGTGTTAAATTACTTTAGCATGCTCACTATACTGTTGTTGATTTGCTTTCCTTTTGGTCTGCTTGTGCATTTTCATTTTCATTTGTTAATGTCTACTTTTCCAGTGATACTGTGTAGAATATTCCATATACAGTATAGACCCTACCATCAGTCTATATGTGAAGCCTTCTCCAATGACTGTGAATCATTGAACTTATTTGCAATAGTTTTTGTTGAGGTTTGGAAATAATCTCCCAAATCTCTAAAAAACTCTAGTAATTTTATTTGCATGAAATTTCATGATAGAATTCAAGAACTGATAATTCCATCTCCCGATGCACCACTTTAGATATGTGTTTATATAGAAATAGTATGTCCATTAAGTACATATTGTATGTTAGAACCATATAGATCTTAACGTGATAGCAAAATAACGTTCTACATATGGTTTATTGAAAGCATCCTGTCATGTGGACTTCTGTGCATTCAGAATTGTGATGATGTAAGATAATTTATCATTTGGATGGTTCAAGACAATCTCATCCTTCAATAAACTTACGTATTTTATGTCTATTGATGAATTATGCAGTATAGCTGGTTTTATATGCACCCCATACAGTATGTCTGCCAAATAAGCACAAGAGTTTATCTCACTTAGGTTCACGAAAGGAACCTTTCTGATGTATTATAAATGGTGCAATTAAAAATGTTTCTTCTGAATAAGTACAGCAAAATGTTAAAGCTGATGTTGAGTACTAAATAACTGCAAATTATGTACCAATTTTGTTTGAGTAAGTTCAGACTTAATATATTCTAAATTGTTTAAAAATCATAAAGGCAGTTTGAAAGAAAATGAAATTAATATGTTCAAAATTGTATGCACTTCCTTAACTTTTTCTTATGTGTATTTACTGCACAATAAAAGAGACTTTGCATGCGCTATATTGTCTGTAAATGGCAATGATTGTCTCAAAAGACACATTTGCATGATTATGAAGTAGTATGGTTTATTTTTCAGCTTTATATTAACCTCAGTGTTCGTTATTGCATTATTGATTTTTACATATGCTGAATCTTTCATAAGCATTAGAAAATTGCCTTTATTTGCCTTCCTGATACTACAATATATTGAAGGGGTTTGTTCTGTAAATTTCTTTTCAAATTTCTTAAATATTTACAACCCCTTCATAAAGTCTGTGTTTCAGGAGAGGTTCAGGATCATCAGCTTTTTTGATTTTTATCAGAAGTTTGTGTTTTCCCTGTTCTTAAATTCTTAGCACACAGAGTCCTATAATTAAATCTGAAGGCAATTGAGAGGAACTCCGCAAATTACAACTCATATAATTCTTCATAAATAAGTAGATGTTATCTTGTCTCAACTCGACTTGTGACTTTTAAGGGTCATTCTAGGGTCACATTGTGAAAGACACAGGGCTTTTCCTCCTGAAAACTAGGAAGAACCAAACTGGACCCAAACAAGCCTCTTTGGTTCTATTCTACCTCATATAAACAAGTCATAGGGAATTATATTTCAGCACTACAGTGCATTATGTTTCTTTTATATATTTGTACAAGGCATCCATGTTACATTTTAGGTTGAACATGTTTTGGTTTTAAATTAGTCTTTGTTTAGTTACACTCTTTCAGAAGTATTCTAACTCAATTATTATGTTCTTTATTAGATTGATATATCCCTGAATACCAGGACTTCCCCTTTCAGCAATATTTTCTAATTTCTGCCAAGCTTTTGGTTCTTCAAAAATAGCTTATTTTTGCACCATTTTATGTAAAGTCTTGGAAAAATCAAAACATTTTATGGTATTATTTTCATATATACTCTCTATTAACAAGTAACTTGAATTGAAAATAATTCATATAATTTGGATGTAAGGTAAAAAATGTTCCAAAGAAGCAATTATAGTCCTTCAGAAAGTTGTGGCCTTCTTCTCTCCAGACTGCACTTTTCTCTGTAGTGCTGTGATAGTGGACAACTATTCTGGTGTGTTGCATCCAGCCTTTTAATAGAGTTTGCTTTGCTTTTGCCTTTTTTTTTTTTTAAGAACAACTGCTGCATGGTGTTAATGAGATTTCATTAAAAGAAATCAGTCTTAAGTACTATCTTAGGAAAACTCTTCTTCTGCTAAAGCTTGAATTTTCATCTTCAGAGACTTTTAAAAACAAATATAAGTCAAGGTATTAAATTGTTTTTCTTCAGTTCAGATTGAGAGATGTGCTTGACATTCTGTTCGTTTTTTATAAATCACATTTCATAACAAATACCAGAAGAGAATACAAACAGCACTTTGAGGCCAAACCTTCTGTTTTATACTGAGTACACTTACATACTGTAACAAATCTTAAAACCATGCTTCAGCTTAAAAGTAGTACCTACACTAGGATTCCAAACTTCAAACAGGTTAAAAAAGTGGCTTTAGTGTCAAAAGAGCACAACAGAGGTTCCCATTGAAAATAAATAGCATTCTGAGCTTTTGAAACATCTGGTATTTTCTTGGGGTTCTGAGTACCATGAAAGCTCTGATACAGCAAATAGCTCTTTATTTACCACACAGCTGCCACAGTTTCCACAAACTATTAAATGTGTAGAAGATACTAATCTTCAAGGATGCTGAAGCCTAGTACTCAATTTTACAAATGTAAATAGTCCATGTTGTTCAGCTGAGAAGATGTAAATTGTATATTTCTCACCTAAAAGATTATTCTTTTCTTTTATATGTTAATTTGTTAATTCTACCATAGAGTTTAGAAGTTTAAAACTGAGATATGAAGAAATCAAGATATTAATACAGCTGATCCCTTGTAATTTTTCATCTGTGGAATTCAGAGTGATCACTATTAGTTCTCTGATAAATTTGTTGTACTCCACAGCCTGGAGTTCAGTCTCACCTTGTTACACTATGTGTGATTAACAGCATGGGACCTTATTGACTCCAGCAGAAGTTTTTTTTACAGGTGGAGCCATCTGGCTGCACATTGTTAGTCTTAGGAAAAAGCATGTATCCTCTAAGACTATCAGTGATTCATCTTGGCTGTTCTCAGGTTTTTGGTTGAAACAAATCCCAACTAATCTAGCCAAAACCATTTGTGTATGTATGTACATGTGAGTGTGGCATGTGTGTGTGTCTTCATACACATACATACATAACTTTTTAAATTTCATATAAAATACACACATTCATCACAATTTGATATAAAAGTAGCCTGGTCTGAACTGTAGTATGGGATTCTACATCTGTGCTAGCTTTTCAAAAGGAAAAATTCATCAATAACTTATTTCAGCTGAGGCAGGAGGAAAAAATAAATCATTCTTTCTTCTGCTCAGCTAATGACACAGGTTGTAATAGTCAACATAAGTATATGAGATCAGAAAAATGTTTTAGGTTCTCCATGTAAGCTTCAGTAAGAAGTTCTGTTGAGGATGAGTTATGAAACAGCCTGCTATATGCCAACACTGGTCAATTGGCATAAAAGTGTAAAGCATAAAGGACGCGTTTATTAGCTCATAATGGTTTATTGAGAGCATTTAATCAATAACTAATCACTAGCCAGACAAGTGTCAAACTTTAATAATGTTTCTCTTTAATTCATATATGCTGACCTAAATAATATTTTCAAACCATTTCATATTAGATTAAATTTGTGCACTGTTAGGAAGGGACTGCATAATATCTGAACCAAGACTAAGAATTGTCCAGACGTATAATAAACTATAGGATGTTGTTTTTACCACATAAAAAAATATTATTTTTTGAAAATTGTGCATACATATGGCTTCTCTTTTTGGAGAAGGATAATAAAATAGGAATGAAAAAACAAAACTTTTTTTTTTTTTTTTAATTAAACTTTTTGCCAGTTATTTGTTAAACCAACTTGATTATGTTTACTTTAACAACTAAATAGAGAAGATTATGCACACTACCATCTTTCATTTTAGATTCTCTTCTGTGTCATGGAACAATTGCATTCACTCTTGTTACTATAGCAACAACTGACCTTATTTAAGGATTGCAATTTCTGGTGTTTTTCCTGAAACGAATATTGTCGTTCTTTGAATTCCAAATTTATCTTGCTTATTAAAGCATAAAATTCAAACTTGCATTACATTCTAATTAGCTGCATATTGTTTTGGTTTACACTGATGGGCAATGTAGATAAAAATCTCTCTGTTGTATAATGGAAATATTATTAAACACATAGGAGCTGATTCTGATCCAAATGGAATGAAACCTATGTCAGTTGACTCAATAATCAGTAGGCATAAATATGTGCTTAACTGATTTTAATTAAATGGTGTTATTTGATCCAAAGGGATCAAGCACAATAGATTTTATACAGGTTTAATATTGTTGCAAACATAAGAACATTAACCTTATAGAATTATTGCAGAAAGAGCATGCTGGCTAACTTTCCACGCACAAAGGTTCATACTGCAAAATCGGGATGGAATTCAAAATGAGAACATATGCTGGATTTCTGCTTAGAATTACAGAGTATAGATTGCTTCATATCTTTGATTTGGAATTATACGGATTTCATAAAGAAGTCTCAATTTTCTTCTAAGTAGTTCTAGATTATTTCCAAAATATTTTGAATAATATTCAGTTCAGAAGTTTGAGAATCAATGGAGGTTGGGTTTTGAGGGGTGGGGTTCTGGAGTTTCTTTTGTTTTTTGTTTTGTTTTGGGTTTTTGTTTTTCTTAGCCTACTGCAAAGTAACTAACATGACTAATTTTTTTCATCAAACATTTTAGAAATGTGTGAAATCTGCAGTGTGTTTCTGAGCTGCCAGAAAGAAGGATATGGCTATAGCACTCAGCAGTGGGTTTCTTCTGGTATTTAATATCCATTGTTTTGACATAGACAGAATCTTCTCAGTTTGCTAAATCAATTAAAGCTAAATTATGCCTGAGTTCAATGTCTCAAGTCTCACCTGTATCTTTACTTTATCTGCATGGCCAGTTAGTAAGCACTATGCATGTTTGCTATGCACAAATGCACATTATTGCCCTTTGCCCAGCACTGGATCAGAACATTTGACCTGTCCTTGGTTTTCAAAGCCTATCATCTCCGCCGTGAAGAAACAGATTGGTTTGACAAGCCCAGGGAGTCTCGTTTGGAGAATGGACATGCCCTTGACAGAAGACTGCCAGAGAAGTTGTCCCACTCTCGACCACCAAGTCAACACCAAGATCAAGTAAGCTGTCAAGTAAGCTGTGCCTTTAGTTTTATGAATGTTTGACAATTTAATCATATTTCCTCATAGTGTATGTAGGGACTACAGGATTAATCGAATTCCAGCTACATTCTGCTGAAGTGCTGTTGAGCCTGTATTTGTCATCAGTACTTAATGAGGAAGTTAGAGTAACATTCGTCTGCAATTCAGTATTTTGCAGGTTGTCTTGATTTTTGAAACATAGCTGAAAGGAGTTAATCTGCTAACCAGAAATATCTATACATTAGGTATTCCTATTTACAAACAAATAAATTAAACAGTCCCATTTTACCTTATCAGCTTTATTCCATCCAAATTCAACCTCTTGTTTTAGTATTTTAAGGAAAAGAATTGCTTTATCCTGTTGACACTTGTTCCCACTTTTAGTTGGTCTGTATAATCCCCATAGTCTGTGATCAGTTACTGAATAAATCAGCAAGACGTTATCAGTCTAATAATTAGAATGTTTCATTTATTATAGTGAAAAAGAAAAATACCATAATCTGCTTTTCAATTTTGTTGACTTTGAAATCTAGTTCACCTTAGTATACCATCACATATCCTCTTTATATTAGTGAAGTTTATATATTTCAAGTCTTTTAAGGTCTTCACTTGATCAGTTATAATTTTTACTGATTGATTGAGATTATAGTCTGTTTTCCATGAGATCCAGTGGATGCAAGAGAAGGTATCGCATGGCTTCTTTGTGATACCTATTACCTTATATTGTTCATGTTAATTCCTCAGACAGCATACAAAGAAATATCCTACTGTCATGCAGCCTTTGAAACTTTTTTGCTGGTGAGAATATTCACTGACATTTGACAATAGAATATAAGTTTTATGAAGTAAGGATGTGGATTTTATGAAGTAAACATTCAAATATCTTACAATACAAGCTGTTGTTTATTTTTATTTTTCCTTTTTTTCCTATCTCTACTTTAGCATATATTGAGATTTACACAGCCTAGGTTGTACTGAGCTTCCTCATTTATTGCTGAGAAAGAGGGTTTTACAAGGTGCAAGTCTTACAGGAATCTATTCAAAGAACTCACTCTATGAACGAGCTTTATTGCAGGATAAAGGACATTTTAGAGTTTTCACAGCTCTTAGTATCACTGGAAATAGATAAAAAACTGCCTATCTGAGCACATTAATCCTCATGAGAAACATGCATTATTCTGAGCATACATAATTTGACCACTACAGCATCGTGAGATAAAATTTAAAAGTTGTCTTGGAAATCAAATTTCTCCAAAAATGTTACTATGATATATACTGTGATACTGAACTCTGTGATATGGAGGTGGTTGGTAAGATGTACTTTTAGAACTCCACAGCTTTTGTCCTGGGAAGCAGTTTCAAGGCAAGTTACTGATAACAAAGGTCCAATCTTAGTTTTTTCTCTCATATAAATAGCACTACTCTGGGACCAGTTGAAAGACTGATCAAATTTTTTCAGGAGGAAGGTTAAGGAGCCTAAGAGTTCTTGTTTTTCTGTATTATTTCCAGAAGAATTTTATTATATTTTTTTCTCTCTGAAACTGTTGTGATATCCTCATGTTTATAAGGAAACAGAGATACTGCATTTAAATCTTGCCAAGGGTATTTTTTAAGGTTTTGTAAAATCTGGGATGGAAATTGAAGAGTTCTGAATGATTCTGTGTGATGCCATGTAAAATCTCTGCAGGAGAAAAGTGATGTGAAAGAAGCAGCTTTACAAAAGTTCCATCTTCATCTGTTTCTGTCCAGGTTAGCTACTGTCATTCACCTTCTGGTACAAAATAGTATCAGTGTGTCTGCAGAAGGGAGAAATGCCATTTCTCACCAACTCTGCATCATCTACTTTGTCAGAATGTTACTCAGAGCTTGTGTGTGTTAAATACCTTCTGTGAACATTTGTTTGAGATAACTAAAAAAATTATTTTCAGACACATCCAGAAAGTAAATTACTTTAAGACAAGATAAAAAGGGTCAGAGCCATTTAAAAAAGTTTCAGTAGCTCCACACTGAATTCTGAAAGTAAAACACTTGGCAATAGAAACAAGTAAATCTATATTAAAAATCTCTATTTTTCAGCGTTCATTTTAAATTTTAAAGCTATCAAGAAAAATAAACCTTTTTTTCAGGCTGATGAGTATGCTGAGGCAAAGTAAACACTCCCTAAAGGCTTTTTCAGCCCTGTCTCTTCTGTAACTAAAAAGTTACTGAAATCACTGTCCCATGCTATGTATCTCCTGTATCCACAGCTCAGTTCTGCACAAAGCTGTAGTGTACAGTCATAATGTACTCTAGAGCCAAAAATGGCAAATTACTCTTCATCTTGACTATCTGAACAGGTCCACTTTTACCCAGAGCTTGCTTTGTTGTAGAGGGTTTCCTGAAATCTGTTAGGAGGATAGTTTTCTAGTTAGCATAGTAATTAAGTCATTGCAACTCCTTCAATATCCCATACTAAGCACAAACCAGCCACAAAAGGAAGTATTTGCATCAGTAGCACTAGTTTGCTTAAAACGTATCAGTCAGTGTTTCTAAATATACTTACTGGCTATAAATTTGTATATTTTTTTTTTATTTGATTTTTCTCCTTTGTAAAAAATGTGGATATTTTACTGACCACTACAATATTTGCATTCAAGAAGATTTTGTTTAACATGTGTGAAACATTGATTTCCATACAAGATGAAATCAGAACTGCTTGATTACATCCCACGAAGTTTGTTCAATTAAAGGTAACTCTGTGTTTTTGAAGCAAGAATGAAATGGAGTAACAATCCAGAACTTCTGGGTGTCTGTGGATTTCTTATAAACTAGCGAATTAAGCTCACATACTTTATTATTAATATTAAAAATATTTGTTTCAATTGTAACTTCTGTGGTGTTACATAGTATTCTTAAATCACATTAGATTGCAGTGCAGTTTAGTAGCTGTTTCCCAAGATAGTGATTCTGAACTGCTTACCTGAGGAGCGTAAATGTGGTTTAAACCTAAACAATACATCATCTATTGCAGATTTCTCACTGATCCCTGTAGACCTCAACAGTTTGCTTAGTTGCTGCCAGTTGACCAGCAACTTCTTTATACCTCCAGACATCAAGGGGGTTTTTGTTATTATTTTCCATGAAAATTGTGTATCCTGAACCAAACTGGCTGTTTCAGACAGGTTGGGAAGGAACAGTAGGATGAGATGCCAGGGCAGTAAGGGATCATGACAAGGAGATGGACAGGGGGTATAATAACAGGAGAAAAGCAGCTTCTCGGTGGGGGGGTTTGAATACAGAACTTCTGGTGATCATAGGTGGGTCTTTTAAAGACCTAAATGAATAATATTCATCATAATACCAGTGTATTGTCATCAGTTTGCTTTGGCAACAGTTTTCTAATCACAAAAAGAAGGCAAGGGCTCTAGATGCAACCTTTTTAATGTTAATCCCCTATTTCTAAAGGCCCTCAAAAAGTATATGCTTGTCTTGATTCATGGGTCTGTACCATTCCCTTGAAATTTAAGTCACGCCTTTTTAAGAGCACTTGAATATGTAGAAATTATGAAAAAATGGGTAATAAGGCTAGCAGTCAATATAAAACCAAAAAATGCTGTTTGTGACAGAGATCCAGAAAGCAACCTGCAAACTTCTTCCACCTTTTTTAAGTCCATCCTGCTTGTTTTCCAACTAACAAGGAGATTTCATTTTAATCTGTAGCAAACTGCTTTCTCTGTTTGAGACTTGGTGGGGGGAAAGGCATTTTGTGATTCAGGTTCTCTGGAAATACAGTGAGAAATAGGACATTTCCAAATGTAATGTAAGTGTTAAAATATCTAATCTAATGAGTGGATTGTTTACCCCACACACATATACTGTAATTCAAGATGGAATTTAGCAGCCAGTTTCCCATTTTTTAGGCACACAGAAATGTTTTTCTCACTGCATGCCAGAAGGACTTCTAAATCAAATGTCAGAGTTCTGTGCTGACCTAATAGCAGAAGAAAAGGCTGCTCACTTTACAATTTATTGATGAACAGGAACATTGTATTTGTTCATTTTTCTTTAATACTTCTTTTGCAAAATATCTCCTTCACTCCATCATAAGGGATCTATCAGTAGAAAGAAATTTTCCACCTTTAGGATTTCTTGAGAACTTGACCTTTGGGCTCTGCACAGAAGAGAAGTAAAGGTTCAGAGGGGTGGGATTACCTTAGTAGGGGAAATTCTTGGTGCCAGCTTTCACAGCCTTTGTGCACTTATTTAAGTACCAATGGTATTCAGAAATTAGGATAGATGCTGTCTAACCCATCACCTTGAGCATCCACCATCTTGTTCCTGGATACCTAACTCGTAAAATTTCCCCTGAAGACTCTATTTCCTGAAGGACTACAGCCACACGTAGCTGCTGAGATTCACCTTATCAGGCCCTAAGATATTGGTGGAAGGAGAGGTGCAACACCATTTAAAACCAGAAATTACCATGACTTTGGTGACCTGATCCAAAGAGCAGTTAATACATTATAGCTGTTGATATGGTCTTTGCCTAGAATACTAAAATATCTTTGATGCATTTTATTTCTTAAATACAACACTAAAGACATCTATTAGTCTCAATTGTCCTCTTTACCTTATAAAATTCCCTTATATGAGGCTTCCATAGAGTTTCTTTGTCAGACAAAATGTGTAAAGACAACAAAGGGAAAATAAAGTATATATTTAAGCGGATTTTCTGTGACAGTGTTAGAAAAACTCAGCACATTGATTTGCCATTCATTCAGTTTTTTGGAGGGGCTTTGAGCTGACTAATAACATGAAACACGTGACCAGAGCTTAAATTTCTGGGGGAAATATTTTATAGTCCAGTTTTCATTTAACTCACTGGGATGCAACCTCCAAGGGCCCACTGAGTAATGCACATAAAAATGTGACCTGAGTCTTATGTCAGCTCAAAGAGCACAGTAGGAGGGAAGATACACTAGACAATCAAAATGTGTCTGTGATCAGAAGAGGATGGCATTGCCAGTGCTTGAACTGCAACTACACTCGAGTATACTGAATGCTCCCAGAAAGGTGAGGAAAGGATCTTCGTGGTAAAGACAGATTGCAGGAATCTATAGGGTTTGTAGCAAATAAGCAGAATCAAGTCACTTTTTGCCTTGTGACCTAAATCTGCAGCCTTGCAGCAGAGGGAAGTGTGTTGTAGCTCAGATTTATAGTGTCGTGGGTTTATGACTTCAGTGGGGTCTTTCTGTATCTTCACTGGGGTAACTGGGGGAAGTCAATGAGAAGGACCCCTGGCATATATTCAGGTGAAGAGAAATCACCTCCAGTGAAAGTTAGGTGTGAACACTTGGAAAGACAAAATAATTCATGTTCTACAAGGTTTCAAATATACCACTGTTTTTTCCTATTCATTCTGCCATTCTCAGGCAAATACTGTTCTGAAGGTAAATGCCTAATGACGTGTTCAGTTTAAGTACTGATTCCCACCATCAATAAAAAATACTATGCTACCCTGGTTGCTAATAAACTTTAATGCTTTTATTCATAACTATATGAATCACCAAGATTTATACTTATCATAAAATTCTGGAAAGTAATGAGGAAGTAATAAACTAAAGTAGGAGACAGTCTATATTTTCTGAAATATTTGTCAGCAAATCATGTACAATATGGCCTTGAATAATCTTGGATTATTATTTATTCAAAAAAGCAATCTTGCTAAAGAAAGATAAGATAGAGCAATTAAAAAAAAAAAAAAAAAAAAAAAGTGAATTTAACTTTATGAGCTGTAATGTTCCTCAGTTAAATTGAATTGCTCCCACCAAAATGGATCCTAGCTAAGGAACTGTTCAAATGTGTTCATACTGATTCTTTTGAATTGCATGCCTTTGTATTCTTTTTTATTTAATTAAAAATTAGACACATTATTTCAAATTTTTTACAATTTTATGTAAGCTACATGACATAGACATTATTTTTACTGTTAAATTACACTTGCTGTATTTCTGATAATATCATTAAAAACATACCAATGTCCCTATCCATTTATAAGTCTGGAAGTCTCATGGCACTTTATACACTTCTGGCAGCATTAGGCCCTATGTCCTGGCAAAATTCCATAATAAGTCCTAAAGTCTGCCTGATCTCAACTCCTGACTTATTCTGGAGTACTTGTCCACTACCAATCCATGATGTCCTTTTTGTCTGAGATTAATTACACTCAATACTACTCTCAGTGTGCTATGAGAGGATTTCAGCCTTACAGTCACCCACTGGATAAGAAACTGAATTACAAGGAAAGATGTATAAACTCTTCTGCTCACTGTGGGATTGAGCTAAGCGAGTCCCTTGGTTTCTCTGTTTCCTCTCCCATCATTTCTGTGTGCTATCCATTAGCATCATAAACCGTCCAGGGCAGAAACTTGGTTTGAAGTGCCCTAGTGCAGGAGGAGTTTAATCCCTTTAAATGCTACTTAAATATAAATAATAGTAATAAACTCTTGTCAGCAGGCTGCTGATATACTCAGACTGCTGCATATCCATGCTGATTAATACCGTCCCATTGGCTCCTTGAGCCTGCCCGCCCTGTTCCCAGCCCGTTGACCCTCAGCCTGGAGCAGTTACAGGCGGTCACGCTCGCTCCTCTCGGTCCGGGTGCAACGTTCAGGCTCAGCACCAACGTGGCAGAGAGGGGATGGATTCTGCTTTGCTTCCAAAAGACCAAAACTGCCAGCAAAGAGGGCATGCAGTAGGTGTGAGGTGTGCGAATGTTGCAACAAACACTCTTTCTGCAACGGCGTTTTGTCGTGGGCTCACAGCGATCGTCCCTGGCAAGCGGGCTTGTCCCAGCTGCGTGGCCCCTCCTGTGCCCATGTCCTGGGGCAGGTGGGATCATCCCAGGTGGAAACCTGGCTCCTTCGTGAGGGTTGTAGAGATTCATTTCCTTTAGCCTTGACACTTTCCAGTATCAGCCCAAGTGAATGGTGCACATTTTCCTATAAAACACAGTCCTGAAAGTTTCATGTTGGATCTTTCAAAAGGCTTTTGAAATATGATGAGAAGAGGTATGTTGGAATGTGTGGTTTTGCTGAAACTAAAGCACTAACTTGTGGCTGTTTATATATTCAACCACCATTTTGTTTATGTTTGTATGAACATGATTTTATTATAATTACAGGAATGATAGTTAATTTCATTCTTTTACTGAACATTGCTAGGACAAAGGATTAATGTTAGGAGAAGCTACAGAAGACAATGACCACCTTCTTGTCATTAGGAAATAAAAATCAGAACTAAAGCCATATTCAAAATGAATCTGGCTTTATTGAAGCAAATATTCATTCCCTTGCAGAAGGATTTTGCGGTCTGACAAATGTCTTGACACTTGGAGGAGTGTCTGAATTGTGAAGTTATGATATTTCCTGGGATGAAATAAGTTTGTTTGCTTGTTTCAGTTTCAGCTGTCAAAAATTATTGATACAATTGATGTTGTTTTATCTTTTTATGACATGCATATTTGTGTTTCTCAGATAAATGGGAAGCCCCTGCAGTACATTTTCCCTCATGCAAGGCTCAAACTACTGAGGGACCCAAAGGATCACACAGTTTCAGGTAAAAACCAACAACCCTCTACAGGACATGATAATTAATTTGATTAGCATGAATCATGCAAAATATTTGCAGTATTAAAAATAGTTCCTGTGTCATATGCAGCAGGAAACTTAGTGGTCATTTTAAGTCTTGCTAGTTGGTTATAACGGAAAGCAGCAGTGCAGAAAAAGGGTCGCAACATCTGTTCAAGACACATAAGCTATACAGACATTAAAAACAGGGAAAATCTGTTGTGTTATACATGAGCAGTCTGTTTTGCTGTTGCTTTATATATAATTCTATATTCTCTTTATGAGAAGTTTCTATAAAATAGGCTTGTCTAAGTGCTCCACATGTACAGAAACAATTTTATTCTGGAACTATTTTTCATATACTATATATATTTTATATATATATTTTTTTATATATATACTGGAACTATTCTACAGCGGTGGGTAGCAGAATCATCAGATCCCACTGTTCTGTGATATCTTCACATAGAAACATTTATCACAGGACTTCAGATTTATTCTTTTTTCTCTAACGCTAACACAAATGTTTGTGTAACTCTGAGTCTGCTTGCAAAGGAGATGAAAGTGACAAAGTTTATATTCATTCACCTCCTGGCCTGTGAGCAGGAATGCAGTGTGATGTTTTCATGTATCAAGTTGTAAAAGCTTCCAGTGACAAGATCTAGCACAGGTAAGTCTGTCTGAGCTTTTGGAATTGCACTCCCTCACATCTAATACTGATAAGGAGCTCAAAAGATTTTTTAATATGCTGTTTGTCTTCCTTCAAACGTACATGCTTTAAGCGGTTTTGTGATGAAACCATCAGACTTTCTTTTAACTCGCTTAAAAAATGCTAATAGTGTGTGTCAAACTCTGTTTCTGAACAGAAGTAATTACCGAGTGCCAGCTCTGGTGTTCCCTCGAGCATTAAGTAGAAAGTGGCACGAACTTACTTGAATTTCTAAATATTGTTTTCACAGGGTTTCTGGCAGTAAAATCTTGATCACTTCCACCCCCAGTATCCACCTCATATTTAGGGTGTTAAATGAATGTTCTGTATATATTACGAGGTATTTTCTTGCTAGTGAGCGTAACACCTGCTGATGATTTCAGGATACAAAAAGACCCCTCCACCCACGCAGCACAGTCTGACAGAGGCTCCCCAGTCCATGGATGTGTCAGCCCCCCAACTGCCCCGGGCCCTTGCAGGCCATAGGACCTCCTTGACATCCTAGTGCAGATTTTGACCTGTGGGGTGATGAGTAACACTGATCCAAGCTGCTGTCTTACTTGAGAACAAGTGGAATTACAACCACACAACTGTGTATAGCTTTTGATTTAATGTTGCTGAAGCCTGCTGTCCTCTGTGAAGTTACTTACGTTCGTACAATGTAAAATGGCTATTCCAGATTCTCGACTAGCTCTCATGCTGGCAACCACAGAAATATACTGAGCACCAGGGTAAACGCCTTGTAAGCGATGACTGGAAAGCCAAGGTGTAGATAGTGACTTCCCATTTACTAATGCCCTGCACAACATGGGACAGACAGGATCAAATATTCGCTTAGTATCCTGCTAAGGTTTCATAGCCCACACTGGGATTGCTCGCTGCAGTAGCTGTGCCATATTATACCTAAATTCTAACTGGAGTAAGCAAGCTTGGCTATGTGCCTACAAGTTGCAGTCATACTTTTGGATTTTAGTCCATACACACTGTTGGAGGCCTGCACAGGCATACTTCTATATGATGTACATATAGATGTCCCTACAAATATGAAAAGGCTTAAATGCAAATTGTACAGAAAAGAGCCAAAGGTAGAATAGATTACCAAGAGGGTCAACCTGAGCCAGAAGAAATTGTATTTTTCACTCCATGTACATCTTTGAGGTACCATAATTCCTTTACTTTGTACCTAGCTCCTTCCTCCTCTCTCTGTCTGGAGGATTCAGGTACACAGAAACTCCCTTTAAATGTGCAATGCTTTCTCCTTAGCCTTCAGCTTTCCAAGTGATCTCTCCCAGAGCCACACAAATGGGTTTTATTCACTTTTTAAAAAATTCAATTTTGATTAAATATTATCTGCAAACTAATAGCAAGTACCTTTGTTTATTAACCACACAATGAATATTAAACAGAGGTGGACTTAGAAAGCTATTATACAGTAAAAGTTACTTAAAATATTGGTAGATTAAACAATATATACTCTTATGCCACCACAGATACTTCACTACAAGATTATTGGATATTCATCTAGATGCCATGGTTGTTGGTTGGCTGGCTGGTTTCTTTCTCTTGGTTTGTTTCTTTCCTTCCTCTCCTTCTTCTGCTCTCCCTTCCTCCCTCTCCCTCTTTCTTGTCTAAAGTACCAAGATGAGGTGTTGAATCATTTTGTTTAACTGATTGTCTTCTATTTGTTGCCTAGGGACAGAAAGAGTATGTGTTAAATAACAACCCTCAATAAAACTCACATGGGAAGTCAGATCTCTCCACAAGAACAGCCAGTCACGGTGACGATGAGAGTCTCTGTTGCAACCATCCTTGCAATAGCATCTTCAGCTGTGTTGGACAGGAGTCCCTGAACTGTTGTGTTGCTGAATTCTTACAAGCCAGCTGGCCCATGGTCCATTGTTTCCAGTTATCTTACAGGATGTACAAAACATCCTCTGTCTTAACTGTGCATAAAAGCCTGTTCTATGTGTTCATTTCTGCACACGCAAGAACTGTTTCTACTGATGATTTACATTATCTATGTGCAGTTTGGTCAGTTCAACAGCATGAGCTGCCTGGGGAGATACCTGAGACTGACAGGTTCTCCTCTCAGGAAATGAATGAACACATAAGTATTCAAACAGTTTATCTTAACTGGTGTTTGCACAGCAGGAGCTACATGGGGAAATCTCCCAAACTATTTGTAATTCCCACTTGGAGAAATCCTGTAACTGTTAATCAGCTGCTTTACTGGGAAGCTGACCAGTGGTTCAACCTCATCTCACTGGGGAGTTCCTGGGCCACCCTGGGCATTAATGACACGATGTGATGGGTTAGCCCAGGTACCCAGCTATACCATAGATTTCATCACTTACTTACAATAGTGGATGTTACTGCCTGATTATGGATCCAGATACTGTCACTTTATAAATATCAATACCAAGAGTAGTCCCAAATAATTTAAAATTCAGACTGTATCACTACATATTATGTGCACATGCATTCTGCTTATTTGCTTTCTTGATTAATGAAAACTGGCTCTGAGGTACAGATGCCTTTGATGCCTCTTACATAATCTGGCATAATTTTGCATACAAAAACATGTATTGCAAATTTTATCATGCGAATGAGGTGTTCGAGGAACAGGGAACCAGGCCAAAATTGTGATGGCTAGAGAATAGTAGCTCTGAATGAAAAATAAATATATGCTTGCTAGCTGGCCTCTCCTGAGGGTTCTTGTTTCTTTAGCACATGCCATCATCTAGAACTCACAGCTCTTCTTTTCAATGTATGCAATGTCCCCTCCTCAGGCAATGCTGATAGATGTAAAGGAATTGCCAACGATTTTCTCTGCAAAGATTGATTAATAATTTGCAGTTAAAAAAAAAAAAAAAAAGAAAGAATTGGCATCTTGGTTATGCTGAGGTGCCAAAGCAATGATGGCAGTGATCAGTGAATGGTAATACAGCAGTATTTAACGTTCCAGAAACTTGCTGTTTGTTTTCACTAAGAATCCCTTGTTCCTTTTGGATCCTTTAGCATAGCAGCATAAGCACCATTTTGTACTGCCAGCATTTTCTATTCTGTTTTTTAACCCGTCATAGTTATATTTGAAAAAGTGAAGAGAGGACATGGCTATTGAAGGTAATGAAAGCATAGTCAATACCTTTGGATATGTTACAAAGACAAAAACTTACATTGTTTTATTCCTGATCAGAAAGCTTTTTAGGCACACTGGGTGAAAACCCAGCAAGGCAGACACATCTCAGTAGGTCTATAGGTACAATAAGTGCACTCAGTCAAAAGTAATTTTTGCTGCTTTGCCTCACTTAGGCTGAGTCATAAGTAATTTTTCCCTTTCCAAAGTTATGACAGTCTGTGTTTCCAGGGAGCAAAATGTACCTTTGAGCCGCCAGACTGTCCATGTTGTGGAACATCCTCTTCAATTCTGATTAAAAAAAAAAAAAAAAAAATCAGAGAAGCAATTCAGAAAAAACTGTGAACTTTATAGTGGAGAAGAGAATTAGACTGCGGGCAGAAAACTGCACCCCTAACCTTCACTTCATCAGTGATGTCAGTGAAAAGGCTAAGAAGGTGACAGGGTAGCTGTAACACTGCACACGTGTCAGAGATGCCTCATACTCTTCATAAGGATTATTAATTCCTGCACACAACACTACACTTCAGCGGCATGCCAGATCATGGGGTATTTATCTCAGGAGAGAAGAAAAGAATCTGAAGAGTTTTCCTATATCAAGCCCTCACTGCTATAGATAGTCTCTAAATAAATAACCCTATATATTTAAGGTTCTTTCACCTGCAAGTTCAGCAAATTCAGTTCTTAGAGCAAAATAATGAAGTGCAGTGAATATGGGATCACTAATCAATTAAAAAAATGTTAAATATAGTCACAGTCTGTGTTGAATGTGATGTAGAAGTCAAAAATGGAGAAGTGTAACCCACCTCTTGTCCTCACACTCTTTTCTAAGAGGATTACTTACCCTGTTTCTTTTGTTTAATATTGTGAATAACTGAGTTAATACGTTGCACAAAAACCCAATACCCTCCTATAACACTCAGTTGTCATTGGGGAAGGATTTAATCCCTAATTAATGGTCATTATTCCGTCAGACACTCTCTCCTTATCAGAGATGTGTCACAGAAGGTAAAAACCCATAAACAGAAAAGGACAGAGCTGTTATAGTCAGGCAACGTCAGAGATTTTCCAGTGAAGTCATATGTCAGTAAATAAGGACAGGAAGGGAAATAAAGGGAAGGAGAGTTGTCTGTTTGTGTCTTAA